TGATGAAGAGCAGGAACAGCAGCAGCAGAAGGGACTGCTTACAGCTGTGCTGAAAAGGGAGATGAGGAGGGCTAAACGGGAAGAGCGTAGGAGGCGATTACAGGAGGTTAGAGATGCAAGACCTGATGATAATATAGATGATGAGAAGGATGTAAGCTACTATAATACTAGTGTTGCTAGGTTGGAGGGAGGCTAGGGTAGTAATTATGGTATTAGGTGGAGGCTATTGAGGAGGCTAAGGCCAGTATCGGTAACCATATCCTCAAGTTAAGTCCACAGTATAAACTACCAGAGAGGTCGGTAATGATGATAGGGGTAATAGGGAATGATGTTGTTATTAGGATGAATACTGATAGTAAGATGAGGCAGATGCTATTCTTAGAAGAGGCTGTACATAGTATTAAGACTAACTTCAATGCACAGGTAGCTACTGCTGATGAGGAGAGGACAGTAGTAGTAGTAGTAACATTACGTACACCAGGTGCTAGAGTTGAGGTCGCTCAAGAGACAGCTTAGGCAACTCCTTATTGAGGATCTGGGCAAACTAAGGGATATCAATTCTACGTTAGGGGGTAGAGATGATGATGTTGGGGATGGAGTAGTTGGGCAAACACTAGAGTAATGATCATCATCTGCTGATGTTTATAGTGGCGTGTTGTTTTAAGTGGTTCCTCTCAGGAGAATATTCCCCGAGTACTGCTACCAACAGAAGGGGGGACAGATCGTTGTGGTCTTGGAGGATATCATTCAAGAGCTTCGTAGAGAGTCACCAGAGGAGTACCCAGAGAGGAGATACGATGATGTAATATGGAGGGTAGGGGATCCTTATGTAGTCTTGCTGCTGCTTTCGTAGATCATTACTACGTTACTCCCCGGCCCCCCAAAGGAACTGGTGAGCATAGATATGTAGTGTCTAACTACAAAGACCTATCTAGGTATGCGGCCTTATCCTGAGTAATGGTAAGAAGGAGCCTCTAGCAGCTGTTAATAGGGATGAGGCGGCTCTGAGTAAGATATTGTTGGGAACAACTACATCTTATTGGAATATTTGAGGTATATTGAAGGATCCTAGAGAGACGGAGCGTATTAGGGGAGACCTATTGTAAGGTTATGTCCTACTCGGTGGTGAGGGTACCACTATATAATGATGTGTAGGTTCGCACAGGAAGGTATCCTTACGAGAGTTAGAGAGGCTGTCGAGTCCTTTAACAAACGAGTAACTGCTTTGAGTAGTGAGAAGGCTAAGTTGGATACAGATCTGAAGATGGCACAGATTACTTTGATTACCTTGTAATAGTAGTATATCCTCCCATCACCACCAGCACCAGCTGCAACAGCAGCAGCTTTACTGGTCTATCCTCTTCATTAGGTTCAAAGAATTAGCCCTACTCAGTGAGCTCGGAGAGGCTGATGCAGCATTGTATGCTAAATTGGATAAGATTATGCAGGAGATGTCGGTAGTGATGATGTCAATTGATGAGTGTCAGAAGACCCTTGCTGATAAGAGGGCCAGAGTCGAAGCCTGGCAAGTGAGTGTTGTAATGTTACTCCTCAATGCTGTTGTTATTGATGATGTTTAGAGAGAGGAGCTTAAACTGAAAGCTGAGTTTGATAAGCTCCTAGATGAGAATGATGCTCATCAATTCTCCAATGCTCTTATCAAGATATATCGTCGTAAGATAAAGAGTAAGGAGTGTAGGGGTAGGGGGAAGAGATGCATGGAATACTGCTTTAGGGAGGTCGAAGAGGGATGGTCAACACGATGATGATAGTAGTCTTGATTCTGACATCAACTCTGCTGCTGATAGGTGAAGTGGTTCTATAACTAGCTCTTAACAATGTATTCCTCAGTGATAGTGATGATGATGATGAAGACGATAATGAGGAGGCTGATGTGTGCCCATCAGG